CTGGGTAGTTCCCCAGGTCAGTGAGCTTGCGTACGACGTAGGGTCCGCCCGCTGCAGCACCCCTGTTCCCCTCGTTCGGGGGTTCTTTTTGGGCGTATGCGAGTGAGGTGTGATGCAAGGTGGGTAGAGAGGCTAACGGGCTAAGAAGCGAAGTTGTCTCGTGTGTCTGGTTTTCCGCCGGTTGAAGGGGTTTCCCAAAGTGCGGAAGGTGAATTGGAAACAAACGGCAGTTGCGCGGCGCTTTTCAGGGGATATAGTCCGGGAGAACCCCTGATTTTTTTCTCATACCATGCAGAAAAATAGACGGGTGTGTTTGCTGATGAAGGACAGCGGCTGTGCGACGTTTCCTTAGCGATGTCGAGTTTCAACCTTCAACGGGCACTTAAGCACAGCTGGATGCCACCGGTTGGCGGTCGGGGCGTCTTCGGGGGCTGGCGGGGGAAGGTGGGAGGTCGGGCGGACATTAGACCCAAACGTGGACAGGCACGGCATGTCTTTGGGGCAGTCACGTGGGTCGATGCGACGTTGGAATTGGAACAAGCTTCGCGATCGCCTTCCCTGCAGCTCCCCCCTAAGGCCCCCTGCGGTTCCACCTCCGAAATACCTCACAGCGGCTCTTCCCTTCTTCATGCCGAACAACCCGTGCCAAATGCCGCTGATAGGCCGCGACCGGGACCTGGATGGACGATGGACAACCGATTCGACGCGCGCTATCCCGGAAGTTGACTCAGGATCTTTTGCTGTCGATTCAGACAGCACGTGCGATTCTAGGATGGGCCTTCAACACTATCGAAACTCTCATACGCACTCGGTCCGGACCTGATATACGAACTATATTGGCATCACTGACAAGAAGTCATAGTAACAGAGAGAGATTTCATGTCGCAAAATAGTTGGGTGTGTGCGGCAACTGACTTTTCTTCAATTCTGCCACAATCATATCCAGTCTGCGAAATATTTCCACCAGCGAACGACAGTCATAATGCTATCTAGGCCTTCTACATCGCGCGACAAGTCTCAAGTACGCAAGATTTTCTTTCCATCCTGGAACAGCTTGATGTCATTCTTCAGCATTTCGCGAAGGCTCTTGCTGACGGCATCTTCACCCGCTACCATGTCCAACTGTTCATTCGTCATGCCAAAAATGCGATTGGGGCACAAGACCCCAAGGGGGCCGTCCTCGGAGCCGAGAAGAAAGTAGTCCACAACTTGGGTACAAGTCATATCCGAAAATCGAGCGCTGGCAATATCATAGTAACTTCTCAGGACATCGTGGATGGTGCAGCAAGTCTCGTTGAGACCCTCAGCCTCGGTAGTCTCTCGCTTCAGGTCCTTCCACAGGACGCACTCGAGGGACTCTTCTCCATTCTGCACAGTAATCTTAGAGTCTTCAAACTTGCTCGCCGATCTCATCGTCTTGACCTGGTTGAGGGCCCTGTCGAAGGCGGGATTGTAAGTGATGGATCGTCCCTCCCGCTCCACGTGGATCAGCAACTTCGCCTGATCCATGGCAACCTGGTACCGCTTCAAGAGTTCATCCAGAATCGAGGACCAGAGTGCGTCGCGGACCTGAGCGTCTACACACGCTTCCTTCACCACGCTGTAGATGAAGTGGTGAACGATGAGAATCATATTGCTCACATGAGCCAGAGTCGTGGCCTCCCACTTGATGGATTGCTCTTTGAAGGCGGTGGGCAGCATGTGACTGCTGAACTGCAAAGCTGTCAGCTGGCTCACTTCAACAGAAAATCAAACGCTTCATGTACTTACAGTGCCCAGCTCGTAGCCTCGAGAGGTCAGATACAACTGCTCAAGGTGCTTCATGATGCCACTGGTTCCTGGCTTGGCGCATTTGCAAGCCTCCGCCAGAACCCCATCGAGCTCACCGGATTCGTCAGAGGGGATCGAGAATGAAAGAGGGTAAAGGTCGTTTCTGCTCGCGTCATCGTCATCGTCAGACTTCTCCGAAGACTCGTCCGAGTCGTCGCCTTCGCTTTTGCTCGCAGCAGGATCAGCAAACTGCCGAGTGTGCGCGTTCTGAAAAAACATTTTGGAGAACGCTGTGTTAGCCTCTCGGACTCGTGTGGCCAGTCTCAGGTCTGGGTGCTTGTCAAAGAGCGGGTCTCCGGTGTAGTAGGCGTTCAGGCCGAAGTTCTTGAGTTCAACGAAGCGGCTCACGATCTCGCCGAGGAACCGTCTCTGTTCGTCTGCGGTGCTTCTGGGTTGACCGAGAGCTGCAAGCTGTTTCTTCGCATCCGCAAGGCGCTCGTTGATGTCACGCCTAACCTTGGGAAACTCGCTCTTGGTCCTGTCCATAAGCAACTCCCGCAGGCGGCTACGAAGTGCGGGGACACCAAGCCGGGATTTGTCAAGCCTGCACCAAGGTTCTTCGTCGAAGAAGAACTTCTCCTCAAAGTCCCGCTCGTCCTTGCTCGATGAAGTGTCGTCAGCGCCTCGGTTCTTGACGACGTAGTAGCCCAGCTGAATGTCACGCCGCTTGCCTCTAATGAGGTCCATGGCCGCCTCTCGAGTGGCGTTCTCTCTAACGAGGTCCGGCTTCGTTAATACACCCAGAGTGCGCTTACCCTCGGGGTCTGCTTCGGCAGCATAGGTGAGGATAGTCTGCGTAGCCACATCCACATTGCAGGGGATCACGGCAAGGATGCTGTTAATGTTAGCCAGTACCACTGCAGCAGGAGGAAACACGTGATGGCACTCACATGGTCCTGGAATCCTTGATGTAATCCTTCACCATGGATTTGACAAGAGCAACGTCTCTGGACGTGGAGAAGCCCTCCTGGACGTTCTCAAAGATGCCTTTGAACAAATTAGTCGATGACAGTATCAAAGAGAACCAGGGTCTCGCGATGTCACACACATGTCGAAAAAGATCAACAGCAAGGGAAGTCGGAACAAGGGCCCAAATAGTGAAGACAACAAACAGAGACATGGGGAAACGCGAGACAAGGAACGAGACCACGCAGTCCTCACTTACCCGGGACGTCGATAATCGTAAGATGCTCCTCGTCTGGGCCGCAAATCTCGACACGAAGGATATCCTTGCTGAAGGCATCGCCCTCAGAGGAACCATCGGTAGTTGATTTCAATCCCATGACAGTAGAGGCCTGATGGGAAAAGCAAAACTTAGCAAAGACTCAATATCTAATGCTCTCCTTCAACCTACCATCTGGAGAACTTCCGCAAACTGTCCCCCTCTGAGGTCTTGAAGCACATGTCTGAAAGACTTGGCGAGCTCAGCCTTCCGAGCGGTGGCATCGAAAGGATGAATGGTCACAACGATGCTGGTCGTCGGCTCACGACGACAAACGATCTCGGTGGCATGGCGGGTGCAGAGTCCGACCGATCGAGGGAAGTAGTATCCGGTCAAGCTCTCCAGAACACTCGACTTTCCGGAGGACTGGTCTCCGACGACGACAAGCTGAGAGAAGAGACACCGGGTCAGATAATGGCCAAGTGGTTTGATCGATGGTTCATACCTGTGGAAGAGGGACCTGCTTGGAAATTCCCAGCTCTCTGAGCTTGTCGATCTTGTCCAAGAGATGGCGATTGCCCAGGCCCGTCTGGGGAGTCGACTGAACGGGAGCCATGGTAATGCTCTAACGATGAGATGTGGGCTTGTATTAACTGAGCAAAGTCTAGGTGCGATGAACTTGAAAAGGAAGATGGGATGGAGGAACACGCCAGGAAATAAGAGAACGACATGCTGGCAGGTCTTTTCATGCCGGAGGCCCGTCAAATTGCGTTTTACTGCATGTCTGCCTCCTGTCTTTCATCGGATTACGTCCGATGCCGCAGCCTGCTTTTGATGCAGGCGCGCGCATGCGGTAACAAACAAAGCCTACTTTCAGAAGTGCCCCGTCCTTGTCTACGTCAATTAAGGTAATCAAGCACAAGGCATCAAGCGAAGATTTTAGCTTCAGGTCTCAGTTGGGAGAATGGTCTAGAACGGATTTCTTTCCACGTCATGATACAAATTCTCTCTCATGGGACTTTATTGATGTACCAGCAAGGCTAATCATAAGATGCATGGGTTCTGAATCAGGAAAGGGACGCAAACGCCTCACCGCAATGAGGACAAACGGTTCGCGAGACCTGGGCCGGAAACACTAAGGCAGGTAGCGATATCATCGCCTTCCCGCATGGGCAGATCTAAGTATCAGCAGAGGAAGAGAAAAGAAAGATATTCGTGGTTCAGAGTCATGTAGCTTCGTGAAGAAGTGGCAGGTGTGGAAGGGTAGTGTAAACGCAGGCCTCAAGAGGGCCATGGATATTTGGGTGTGATTATGTTGACCAATGAATTCTGGCTGTATAAGGTCACATTTTACCTATTGATTGAGATTTGGAACAAAAAGAATATTTTGAAATGCAAAAGGTTCGATTCGAACCCCAACAAGCTGGGTTATTGTATATCATCCAAGGCGCTTGCACTGCTGCTGACCTGACCACTGGACCAATTGGCCCGCTCGCTGTTGACAACTACTAGGCAGAACTTCAACAAATAGTCTGCCGCAGTTGAGAATCAGGAAGGAGCCTGGGGAGGGTCGAAGTTTCCAAGGGACGCAGGTTTCCGTGACTGGTGTTGTGATGTGGGGCCCGCTGAGGACCGGCTTGAGCTACGCGATCAGCTGCGTTTGCAAACCTATCACTCAAACATACGCTGGGAATTGCCATCAATCGAGTGAATTTCGTCCTATTTTATGAAGCTATTCAGGTTAGCGGCGCAGATATATTGGTATCACAGACCCATATCTCCAATGCAAAGACATGTCGTTGGATTTGAGTCGAGAGGCACAAAAATTGTTAGTGCATGCCACCTAAACCCACCACACCAACTCACAACCTCACACCTTCACCTCATTCTCATCACTACTGAGGTCTCACACATAAGGCCTTTAGCCTGAGATATTCTGTCCAGATTGATTCATATATAATCAATCTTCTCTGGATCTCTCACGAGCCCATCACAACTTTCAGCGATCATGGCTGTAAAAGCCCTCATCTCCACTCTGGAGGATGAAATCCTTGATCCTGAAGAAGGTACATCTCGAAGATGATGGCCAACAAGTATCCTGAGGCTTTCCAGCTTACCAAGACACCTAGAAACATTCTTCCTGTTCTCCCATGATATTCCGTCCTCAAACCTAGGTTTCATCGACCCCAAAGCGACGACGCTATCGCTCACCCTCGCGGACCGGGACTTCACCATCCACCAATCTCCGACGGTCCTCTCATCAACCCGGGCAGGCGGCACAACCGGCGCTGGTAAGTTGATCTCATGCAACAATGCATCTTTCACCACCCGTGCCCTAGAGAACATCCATCTCACTTCTCATAAAAACCATCAAATCTGCCATGTCGTACTAACACACCTCCCAACAGTCCTCTGGAAAATCACCCCCCTCTTCGCAACCTACCTCTCCTCCCCAACATCCCCCTTCAACCCCATCTTCACACCCACCTCCACAGTCCTAGAGCTAGGCTGTGGCATCTCCCCATTGACAGCCCTCCTCCTCGCGCCCAGAATATCCCGCTACATCCTCACAGACCAGCCATACGTCTCGCGCATGATCCACCAGAACCTCGAAGCGAACCCCCTCCCATCCTCCACCGCTTCAAAACCCTCCTCCCGTCGGAAAAAGACCACTTCCACTGCCAGCAACACCTCAGCATCCTCAAGCCCGGGAAGCATACAATTCAGGTCCCTGGATTGGGAACTCGACACCCCGACGCCCTCCCTCACAGGCTCACCCGCGACCCGCTCCTTCGACGCCGTCGTGTGCTGCGACTGCATCTACAACGAGGCCCTGGTCGATCCCCTCGTCTCCACGACCGCCGACCTCGCTCGGCTCCGCCTACGCATCCAGGAAGAGGAAGAGGAAACCGACGCGGAGGAGGCGGAGCGGTCCGAGCCGTGCGTGTGCATAGTGGCTCAGCAGCTACGTAGCCCCGACGTGTTTGAGGAATGGGCCAAGAGCTTTCATAAGCAGTTCCGCATGTGGAGGGTCCCGGACGAGTTGTTGCCCGAGGGGTTGAGGATCGAGTCCGGTTTCGTGGTCCACGTTGGTACCTTGCGAGAGTCAAAGTTTGAACCTTGATATGATGCCTTGGATGCATCTCACGATGTTTTGAGTGACAGAGAGGTTGGTGTTGGTACGGCGCAAAAGCTCAGTCTTGCGAAAAGCTGTGTTATGCTGCACATCTACCCTACATCGATATAGAAAAACTTTTTCTCGGCTTCATACAGAAAGCCACGTGACCAAATCCCTTAGTTTGATTTCCCAATCGCCGCCGCCAGCATATGAACATGCTCAAAAAGCCAGTTGAACCCATCGTATCGTAGACACGTTAACTTTGAAAAGTCAAAACTCCAGATTACCAATCCATTTTTTGTTTGTTTTGCTTTCTTTCTTTCTTTTTTGCTTTACCACTCGAGGGGCTCAGTCTTGGTCTCGCCCCGGTTGGTCTTGGGGACGGGAACCGCCTTAGCAAGGAGCTGGCCCGTCTTCGGGTCCCTCTTGAGGTAAGAAGTGCCGTCGAGCCAGGGGGTCAGCTGGGACATGCGGCGCTCGTAGTCAGTAATCTTGTCGTTCATTTGCATGGTCAGACCAATGTCGTCGAGGCCGTTGATCAGGCAGTGCTTGCGGAACTCCTCGACGTCGAAGCTGGCAAGGGTGTTGCCGGAGGCGTCCTTGATGAGCTGGTTGGGCAGATCAATCTCAATCTCCTTGCCAGCGCGGGCCTCGTCGGCGATCTTCTCCAGGACGGCCTGGTCGGGGATGACGATGGGCAACATGCCGTTCTTGAAGGTGTTGTTGAAGAAGATATCGGCGAAAGAGGGAGCGAGAACGCATCTGATGCCGAAGTCGTTCAGAGCCCAGGGCGCGTGCTCTCTGGAGGAACCGCATCCGAAGTTGGGGCCCGTAACGACGAGGATCTTGGCCGCACGGTAAGGGTCGTTGTTCAGGACGAAGTTGGGGTTCTCGGAGCCATCCGAGTTGAAGCGGAGCTCGTAGAAGAGAGCCTTGCCGAGACCAGTGCGCTTGATGGTCTTCAGGAACTGCTTGGGAATGATGGCGTCGGTGTCGACGTTGGACTTTTCCAAAGGAGCGGCGATACCCTTCAGGTTGGTGAACTTGGGGAGACCAGTGGAGCTGCCAGAGGCGGAGGCGGAGGTGTTGGTGTGGGGCTGGTTGTCCTCGGGCTGATCGGCGATGGCCTCCTTCTCCTCAGAACTCTCCTCAACGCGCTCATCGACGTGAGGCTCGATGGGAGTGATGGCTGCCTCGATGTGAGGGCTGGCCTTGTACTGAGACAGTTTCCTGACGTCGGCGAGCTTGCCAACGATACCAGCGGCAGCAGCCATGACGGGGGACATGAGATGCGTCCGGCTGAGGGCACCCTGGCGACCCTCGAAGTTTCTGTTGCTGGTGGATGCGCATCTCTCCTTGGGGGCAAGGATATCGGGGTTCATGCCGAGGCACATACTGCAACCAGCCTCACGCCACTCGAAGCCGGCGTCGGTGAAGATCTTGTCCAGACCCTCGGACTCAGCCTGGGTCTTGACGAGACCGGAGCCAGGGACGACCATGGCGCGCTTGACATTGGGAGCAATCTTCTTGCCCTTGACGACGTGGGCAGCTGCACGCAGATCCTCGATACGGGAGTTTGTGCAGGAGCCGATGAAGACCTTGTCGATGGGGATCTCCTCAAGGGGGGTCCCGGCCGTGAGACCCATGTACTCCAGCATTCTGCGGCCAGCAGCCTTCTTGGCCTCGGTGGGGAAGGTCTCGGGGTCGGGAACGGTGCCGGTGATGGGGACGACGTCCTCGGGGGAGGTACCCCAGGTGATGGTGGGGATGATGTCCTTAGCGTCGATGAAGACATCGATGTCGTACTTGGCGTCGGGGTCGGACTGGAGAGACTTCCAGTACTTGGTGGCGCGGTGCCACTCGTCGGAGTTGTACTTGGGAGCCAGAGGGCGGTTCTTCAGGTACTCGAAGGTCACCTCGTCAGGGGCAACCATGCCGGCTCTCGCACCACCCTCGATAGACATGTTGCAGATGGACATACGCGCCTCAATGCTGAGGCTGCGGATAACGGAACCGCAGAACTCAATGACGGCACCGGTACCGCCGGCAGTTCCGATCTTGCCAATGGCGTGAAGGACAACGTCCTTGGAGCTGACACCAGGAGCCAGCTCGCCGTCGACTTGTATCCTCATGTTCTTGCTCCTCTTGGTGATCAGGCACTGGGTGGCGAGGACGTGCTCGACCTCACTGGTACCGATACCGAAGGCCAGGGCACCGAAGGCACCGTGGGTGGAGGTGTGACTGTCACCGCAGACAACCGTGGTGCCGGGAAGGGTGAAGCCCTGCTCGGGGCCAATGACGTGGACAATACCCTGGCGCTTGTCGCCGAGGCCAAAGTAGGTGAGACCGAAGTCCTTGACATTCTCCTCGAGGGTCACGCACTGCACGCGAGAGTCGTCCTCGGCGATGAAGGAACCAATGTCCTTCATGCCTTTCCGCGATGAGGTGGGGACATTCTGTTGGCGCAGAGTTAGCGATTGGGTATTTCAGAGTACTTTGCAAATCCAATTGGTTACTTACGTGGTCCGTCGTCGCCAAAGTGCAGTCCGGACGGCGCACTTTACGACCGGCATTCTTCAGACCCTCGAAGGCTTGCTGCAGGCTTTGTTAGCGAGCCGTCATGGTGGGGTCGATCAACCGACGTCATCCGAGATGCAGGGCAAAAAAAGCGTCACGTACAGGAGAGGTAACCTCGTGAACAAGATGTCTGTCTGTCGCACAACCCACGTCAGCAAATTACTCCCTAAGGCCATGGCAGGCAAGGCAGTGCCGGGCTCAACGCGAGGCAGACTCACCAATGTACAGCAGGACTGTGCCGTCGAGCTTCTCGTCGACAACATGGGCCTGGAGGACCTTGTCGTAGAGAGTCTGCGGGGTTCCTTCGGCAACAGGCATTGTGTGCGACTCGAATGCGAAAGCGAATTCCAAAAGCAGGCAGCGTCCTCACGATAAGGGACCGGTTGGTGTGATGCTCGCCCGGTGCTCTCAATCAAGGGTGGGGGTAAGGAAGTAGTCTGAAGTCAAAAGCAGGAGAGGCTGTCGCGAGACAAGAGGCGTAAAGGGAAAGAGGGAAGAGTGTAAGAAAGAGTAGAAAATTCCTGTGTCGGAGGTTGTGGCAGGATGTGGGGGACGAGCAGCTCAATATGTATCTGCCGGACCGGGAGGCCTTCGTATCTGGCTTTTGAATAAAGGGAGCCAGAATGCTAGGTAAGGCAGGTGAGTAGGTAGGTAGACATGGAAGAGGAGGAACATGGCCAGGTACCTACTTTTGCTTCTGCGTCAGGTACCTTGCCTCCTGTGACCTCCGGTCCAAGGTCCAGTCCAGTCTCTTAGAGTTGGCGCGCTGAATCAACAACGATACCGCAGCAGCAAGCATGGACACTACGAGCCCATTGCCCCGCGCCCTCACAAAAGTGCCCGCCATGCCAGGTACCTGACCCTTCCCGGCAAAACAAATTGGCCAAAGCCGTGAAGCTTTGGCACGAATTCTGTTCCGATCATCGGAGGCGTCAGCTCCAGCCAGCTGCGGGTCCGGTCGCCGGAACGCGGGGTACAGCGCCCTGATTTGCAAATGGCGCCCGCGGATTGGCCCGTCGCCCCCTAGGAAGCCCTCAGAGGCCCTGCACCGAGGGGTCCGCTCAGAACCTTCCAAACGCTGCCATCAACGCGCGCCGCCCCTCTACGATGAGTCTTCACTTGGGACTCCGGAGCAGTTTTTTTTTTCTATTGCTACTAGGTACCTTACCTAGAATCCATAGACGGGAGCCACTGGTTGACTACAAACCCGCACTTGAGACCGCAAGAGCCCGCAATCTGACGAGTAATATGGGCTCGCATGGGCTCAGTTCCGCCGAAAACAGCAACTACTTGAATTCTCATGTGTCCGAAGTTGTATCTCTGAGTCGGAGCGACCCAGCTGCGCCCCCGTTTCCATCCGTCGTTTGCCGTCCGCTCTTTGCCGTCGTTGCGTTGGTCTCATTTGAAGATTCATGTGCGTGATCGTTGTTGAGAGGCTTAAAAACCAAACGGTCCCAATCTTAATCCCGGTTCTTGTCAACTGCCTACGCATTACTTGCCAACAACACTTTTCGGGAGTCGCAGTCACAATCCCAGCGGTACCGGCAGTGGCAGTAGGGTACGTATTCCTGTCTCGTCCTTAGGACACTACTGTAGATATGTTGGCAAACAGCTGTGTACGCGCGGATTAACAATCCCATCCCACATATGGATGCAACATCCGACGTTCATCGCTTACTCGATGATGACGCTGCAGAACTGCATTACAACCACCGCCGAACGCCTAGATCGGCGCCGGCCGACCAAACGGTGACGGACGGCCTCTCAGCAGCCACTTGCAGGTTGCCAGCTGCCTGCCCAGCATCAAGTTCTCACCGCATCGGCGGCGGCTCCTGCGGTGATCCCAACACCCCGTCCCAGGCTAAACCGGAGGCCGCGACAAAACTCGACGATTACACCCGAGGTGCCGAATAGATCATGCACCTCGCACTCCCGGACGCCCGCTGCCAGATGCACAACACTGATTAATGAGTACTAGCCATGCCACATATCAATACTTGTATCCTCAATCTGCCTCAACACTACTGGTTAGCCGTACCACTCCCCTATCCCGATGCATGCTTGTCCTGCACCGCTACCCCACACGAGCTCAAACAGCGGCCGTCAGTCTCGTATCATTGAGCGCTGCGCTTTCGGCCTTGCCTTATCACCAAATCCCTCTCCCCCAACCCAGCCGATGTACGGCGTGGCAGGGCCGCACACCCAACCCGGTCCCTACTGCGCCGATCGGCGGTTGGTTGGGCTCGAACGCCAAGCTTCTCTCCACAACCTCCCTTTTTCGTTATGGTCGGCTGCCAGGAACCGAGAATCGCAATCAAACCTCCCCAGCTTGCCTTTCAAATCCCCAGGATACTTCGCATCATCCGCATCATCCATGCTATTCCCTGTGACAGCCGGATTGCTACCGCCAATAACATGAAACCGCCGATCAACGCCAGCACAAGTATTCCAACGTCCGTCCATGTGGATTTGCTGCTGTCTAGTCTCTGCCGGAGAGGCGATGTCGGAACGAAGCATGGTGATATGACTTCCCAGTACAGTTGAACTAGGCTGATCGCGAGCTGCTTGCCTTGAGTGGCGTATTTCCGTGTCTGTCTATGCCACTCCTCCCTTCGCAAACGACCTTCGATGACGCCGTCTTCGGACTTGTCGACCTCGTGGGCTGTCGACATGCTGCAGCCAGTCTTCAACATGGCTGGATCGACTTGATTGACAGGACTGCGTAGCTGTGTCGTTCTGAGAGTATTGCAGACCTCTGTCTGGTTGGAATCGCACGCTTTTTTCGGATTGACGTTGGCGGGCCTCGGTTGGTCGATGAGAATTCGTTGTTGTTTCTGACTGTAGTTGTTCACTTCCTTCTGCTTGATCACGTCGGCTTCGTGCTGGTCCGTCTTCAATTGGTATGTATAGTCGACGTCGTTCGGCCCGTCCAACTGGAGCAGGGTCCTGTTCTTCACCGTCTCCGTTTTCGCGGCCCGCATATCGTTGCTGTTCAAAACTGCCCCGCTCATGTTGCAATCGCCTCGCGTCTCTAGCCGGAGTGTTTTTGCATCTTTGACCATGTCCGAAACCGCGCCATTCGACATGATGTCTTTCCAAATTGCCTTGCTCTTGTTGGCTGCTCTGGCGAGGTGGAGACCATTTCTCAACCTCGTCCTGAGTACGCCATCGACGGGCAAGTTCCTCAGGCCGGAACTCTTTGAGTTGTTGTCCTTGTTCAACCGATGGTCTCTCAGAGTTTCCACCATCTTGTTGCCCGACTCGACCGTTGCGGTTCTGGCCGCTTCCAGGCATAAGGTTTGGTTGAGGTTGTCTTGGGCGGCTTCCTTCAACTCGTTCGGGGGTGACATAGACGTGGACGTGAGTGATGTGACAGAGCTCTCCGTTGAGTTTGCCTGAGGGCTCTCGCTGGTAGGGGAACTGCTCACAGGCGATTTCCCGGCCGCCTGTTGGGTCGCAGGCCCTCGTATAGTTTTCTTGAAGCCGTGGTCTGTCGAAGGCAGGTCCTGGCTGAGCCCCTGGAAACCTAGGCGGTACCGAACTGATGCCGTCTGGCCTTCTTTTCTCGGCGACGGCGTTGGGTTGCTGGCTCGGGAACTTCTCAGCAGTTTTGGGCCGTCCTTTCTCGATTTCATTACGGGGAGGCTGGATTGGTGGCGGTCCGGTCTTGATGGGCGGTCTGTCTTGATTTTGCAGGTGCGCTCGCTGGGTCGGCAACGAACTGGTCCCACTGCCTTCTCTCTTGCCATTATTTGACTCGCGCCTTGGTGGCGTGCCGAACTTGTCGGGGCCTCTTCTGTCATGCTCTCCGCTGGGCCATCGAATTGGCATTGAAGGGCTGTGTTCTCTCTTGGCGCTGGCGTCGGGCTTTTGTGCTGGTACCGAAGGGACATTGTTGGGAGGTCCTTTCGAAGAACCTGCGCTTGGCTGTCGAATCTGTAATGAATTGATGTCGTTGATATGTCTTCTGTCGACGTTGACATCTGATCGTCGAATTGTCGACTTGAGTGTCGATGTGCCACTACGCTCCAATTGTCGTTCTCTGGTGTCTCCTCGAGGTTTGTGGGCCTTTGGCACTGGCTCGGCGTACCAAGACTTTGGTCGAAGCCAATAGTGGTGGTGATGGGTGTGAGAGCAGCGTCGGCCATCACGTCCGCCTTCTTCTGATTTGCGGGACAGACTGGATGTACTTCCGTTGCCAAGTCGCCTTGTAGCCTTGCTTGTGTTGTCAGAGACTCTTGAGTTGACTTGAACTCTGTCACGCCAAGATGGTTGTCCAGCAGATCCCGAACCGATGCCCCGACCCTCTCTTCCCTGCTCATGGTCTTTGGGCTTGCCGGATGACTTTGGTACATCGACCATAACTTTAACCGGGACGAAGTCACTGTAGCTTTGTTGGTGGGAGACGGGACTTTGTTCATCTTCGAATCGGACGGATTTGCTGCGGTTATGTGAGCCCGTCCTCCTGTCTCTTGCTGTAGTGAAGCCAGGATCTTGCCCTCTTGAAGATCCGCCAGTTCGCAAGATTCCAGGGGATCCCATTCTTTCTTCAGGTCGCCTTGTTGCTGCCATGGCTGGAGGTAATTGAGTCGCGCCTCGCTGTTCTTGGTCAATAGGGGCCTGGCGCTGACTTTGTCCGCCTGTTTGCCTTCCGGGGTTGTCTGTGTGTCGACTGCTGGTACCGTTGGTCTCGAATGTTCCTGGTAGAGAATTCCCAAGGGATTGTGTCCTGGCGAAACGTTCTTTTCGACGCTCGATGGCGCCGTCTGGCTGGAAGCGCCCAGGGGTACTTGCTCGTCTGCCGGTTTGACTGGCCCCGGGCGCCGTTGGCCTAAAAAAGAATCCGTAATGGGCACATTGCTGAAACCCCCCGGTCTGATGGTCTGGGTAGAACTTCGAGGCCTTGGGTAGGCTGAAGGAGGTGTGATATGCAACTCGGGCACTCCGGACTTTTGGCGCTGGTCCTCTCTCGGGAGGGCGGGAAGAGGTCTTTCAGCATTGATTAAGCCAACGGATATCTCGTTGCCTCTAAGCTGGCGGGCACCAGGGAAAGGGTGGTTGCTCCCCTCGCCATGCAGTACTGTATCTGAAGAGCCGGCATCGTCGTCAATGAGTACATGCTTCGGCAGGTGAGACTTGAGACCTGACGGACCGGGAGGGCCTGAAGGTACCAGAGGACATGGAGGACTTCTCCGAACCGGTTCGAGGAGCTCCTGAACTCTCTGTGGCTGCGGCATAGGCCGTTCGTCTTTCCTGTCTGAGCCTGTCATTCGATTTAGCAAAAGACGATGTTATGACACCCTCAGCTCAGTGCAGTCGGGTCACGGATGGCTTACCGTGATTCGACATGCCGGCCGATGACTGCGCTATAGGACTGAGGTTGGGTTCTTGTGCAGATGACCACTGCTGACGATTTCGATTCCAATGTATTTTCTCCTGAGCTCTGCGAAGCTCCTCCTTTTCTCGATCTTTGCGCGCAAATCGTTCCTTCTCTCGGTCCAAGACGCTTTTCGTGTCCTTTTCCGTCAGAACTGTGGCTCCTCTGCGGCCATCGAGGGGCTTTCTTTGCGTCTTTTGGAACGAGGCTAATTTCGGGTCGAGTGCCCAAGTTGCGGAGCTACTCGTGGAGGGTGTGATGATGTCCAATTCCCCTGTGTCTGGGTTGAATCCCTGGACCCCGAGATAGTCGCCGCTTTCCTTGAGGAGTCTCCGCTGAGAATGGACTAAACGGCGTTCCTCGATGCTTCTCTCGGCTCGGGTCGTCCTGGTTGCCGTGGTATTTGCTTTAGTACCACCTTCCTCACGACGAGACTCGACAGAGCGGCCTTTCTCATGAGAAAATGTCTCCGCGGTTTTCAAGTTGGAGATGTGGTCGGAGCCCTGATCAACTCGAGACGAGCCGCGTTGGGAGCGACGAGTCTTCGTCTTCTGCGTCTCGCTGGTCTCCTAGTATCCTTTGGCTCGAAGAGTGCCGCCCTTCTCAGCCCGGTAGCTGGGCAAAAGACTCCTCAGACGAGAGCTAAAAGTCGGCTTGTGAACCGAGTCCTCTAACCGCTCATTCCCAGGCTGTCGAGGAAAGACACGAAACGATGGTGAGATTTGCTGGTCAGAGTCTGGGGCCGAGTGGACTGACATCGTTGGCCGGGGGTGCTGCGGGATAGAAATGCTGTAGGATAGAAAGTAAACAAACAATTTTGAGGTGTCCCCAGAACCATGTAAATGTCGCCGGGGATGTCCTGCAGAGACGTCGTCAACCCGTGTGCAAGGACCAGGTTGAGTGAAGGATATCCCGGTTTCCCAAAGTGGCAGGAACTACCCCAGACAACGATAGCCTCAACTGCAGGGGTATGAAGATAACGAAGCTGATGGCAATAAATATGAATGGAACACAACTACCAAATAACTGGCAGCTGATTTTCAACTATTCTGGTCATTGTCCCAGCGGCCTTTGGACTGAGGGCTGATGCTCAGGGACGGAGCGTTCTCTCCTTCCCCTTGGAACTGTGCCTTCCTCCTCTGTGGCTGCCGCGACTTATAACAGCAAACAAACAACCGGCTGTTCTCTCTCCCTCACCCTTCGAACTTTTTCAATCTTCACTCTGCACCTTCTCTATTCGCAACACTTCTTCTCCCACACAAATCTCTACCATCACCATCCAAACCCAAATCATCTCACCAGCCATGCGCTTTTACAACTGAGTAACAACAAGAACCTGCCTCTCAACAAGAGCAACAAAATGTTTACGTATTTTCAGAGGCTTCCTACGGAGTTGCGCGACGCCATCTGGAAGTTCGCCCTTCCGGAGGATGAACCGGAAGTGTGCATTGCGCACCCCGGCATGCTCAAGAAGAGCTGGCAGTACCCACGCAAACTCTTCATTGTGTACACAGCTTACCCGGCCTTGATGCATATATGCCAGGAGTCCCGAGCATTCGCCCAGAACTTCAAGTTGAGTGGTGTTCGATTCACCACTCACCAAGGCACAACTGCGCGTGTCCCGTTCCGCTTTTTCCAGCCGGATTTTGATACTCTTTTCTGCACTCGAGCCAACTTACAGGACAATCATGACAGCAATCTTGTCATCGACTGCTTGGCCCATGAGCCTGGTCTGGACTCAATGTTCTGGGAAGTCCGTCATTTGGCTGTTGCGACTCGTGAGTTCCCCGGCATAATCACGGACACCATCTTCGACGTCCTCCGTGAGTTAGAGACCATCACGCAAGTCTTTGTGAGCTCTTCGACAGACGACTTCAATGGTTGGACCAAAGAGGCCTTTGAGGCCCCTAAGCGCCGATGCAAGCTGCGCAATCTTATTCACACTCCTGCATGGCAGAGAGAAATCACTGGATGGCGTGAGGGCGATGATTTTCTTGAACACGTGGAGTGGTATATGGAGAGATTCCGCAAAGAACTCGACATACATGGACGAAGATCCTTCCGAGAGGAATACCCACGCGGTCCTCACGAGTACGAGGAAAACGCTTGGGACCCTGCTCTGAAGGAGTTCACTGGTCTCAAGCTATATGCAAAGATCTTCGTTGAGTATGAAGCTGGCAACTGGACCGAGGAGTGCTGCAACAGAAAGCTGCCGGCTGACGCACTGCTGGCGCCGCGTCAGGAAGATTGGCACCTGCAAGAACCAGAGAATGAGACCGGAGACTGTGACGAAGAATTCGAGGACTTGGAGGCAAACCCCGACGACTTTGTGCAGGTTGTGCCTGGACCGACTTACGACTCCGCTTGGGATTTTGATGAAGCCATACGCGACGTCTACGACCAATCGGTCGATTTACTTTGAAGGGTGTCTCAAGCAAACTGCATGGCTACAACTTTCGGAGATCCAGACAAACACTGGACTTTTGCATCAGGGCAAGTATCTTCTTTCTTTTATCATGTCTTCTTTTCCTATTTCATGGAGCTGTGGGCTAACGGCTTCCCATCCAGATGGCAATCCCAAGTCATCGTACTTTGCACAACCAGAAATGAACTTGGATGATGGGACGACATTACCATGTGTTGGTTTAGGAACTTGATAAGACGGAACGTGGGGATTGGATGGACGAGTGGCAACGAGGTCAGGACGACATAAGGGATTGAATGGACGACGAGCAATGATGCGAGGGCCACGAGATCTTGCAGCAAACACTTGTTATTCACGACGACGAGGACGAATCATGGAAAGGGGACATGTCTCAGATTAATACACTTGCTACAACAGACAGAGCCCGCACTGAATTACAGTTTGAACAGCATGAGATTTCTCCGAGCTGGCATATTAGAATAACCCGACAGTGACTGTTGTTCATCACTAACGCTGAGAGTATGACACGCAAACCAAGCCAGGTTATGTATAATCTGAAATTTGAATTACGGGTTTAATAAGAAGAAACGCCAGCCCGGAATGACCGCCCGCCGCCCAAACCCAACGCCGCCATATGCTGCTAATGTATACACAACTCGGAGCCATCAAGCAAAAGCAAAGCCCACTGAAGCAATTTCACTCCCATGTATGCAGTGTATGTCCCTCTCTCAGTCTCCCTTAGTGAAACCCTGACCACCTTGACGGGTATCGTTCTCCTTGTTGCAGACTTCTATTCCTCTTCGCGCTGGCAAACGGGTTGTATGAAGCCGAGTTCATGTTATTCTCGAGAGCATCGGAGCCGGTGGACCTTCTTGTCTCAGACTGCTTAAGCGGACTTCCAGCCTTCACCGGGCTCCCTCCCCTGCGCTGCTCTAGCGCCGCCATTTCCCGCGAATTGCGAGGAGACATGAAAGCCTGGTTCACGTCGTGCAGGCTGGTTGCCTTCTTCAAGGGCGAGTTTGCGTGGGTGAATACCCCCATGTTGCCTCCGAAGTTTGTCGATCCGGTGTTTGCGGCCATGTTCGACGTGGAGGTGGAAGTGGATTGATACCCGGTAGGCAGGCTCTGTCGAACCGATCTCGTGCTGGGGACTGGCGTAAAGGCCTCAGATCGGCGGCTCGTCGTGGGCGTGAACAGGCGAGAAGCGAAACTGCTGGTCGGTGGCGTGTACACAGGCTCGTCCTGCTTAACGTGGGGGTTGGGCGTCGTAACAAATTCCTTCTTGATGAGGGTAGTAGGAGTGCCGACTTCGACGAAGGACTCCTCATCCTTCGATTCTTCTGGAGAGCACTGCGTACCAACATCGCGAACGACCGGGTGAAGACGCGGGCGGACAAACTTCGTATCGTACTCGTGCAGGACTTCCTTGTGGATGATGGCCGTGTCTTTGATCTGCTGGGCGTACCGAGACTGGACGAAAAGGAGCTGTGCCGAGAGAATGAGTTGCAACACGATGCAGT